GTGCTCCCCTGCCACCAGTAGGATCAGAGAAGCAAGAAACACCAGACGGAGTCACTGACTGAATGCACGCCCCAAACAGACAGGGCACAGCGATGGAGATCCTCACCACTCTCCTGCTGCTCGGTACGTACCTCCAGCTTTTATTACCATTTCCGAATGGCCGCAAGAGATAAATCCGTCACTCGGCTCCTGCCCTCAGCTCAGTGCACAACCAGAATGTGAACAGGCACACTCCATCCAGACTGTGGACAGATAGCATTGCATATGTGTGCTGGCATTTCCCAGACTGTTTAACAAATGCAATCTCTCAGTCACACTCCCTCTTTGTCTCTCTCTCACTCTCCCGCACGCTCTGTCTCTCTCTCACGCTCTCACACACTCTCTCTCTCTTACAGTATCGCTGACCCTCTCTCTCACATACTGTCTCATATACTCTCTCTGATTCTGTCTCTCTTATATACACTGTCTCTTCCATACACTCTGTCACTCACACTCTCTAATACACTCTCTCTACCATGTACTCTCTTTCATACACTATCTCGCTCACACTCTCTCACACACTGTCTCACACCTATTTCATGCATGTGTGAGAGACCAGAGAGAGACTATGAGAGAGAATGTGTGTGAGAGAGAATGCGCTAAAAAGATAGAGATTGCTTGAGAGAATTATGTCTGTGGAAAGCCCCTCTGCTTTCCTTTGCCAGGTTTCTCATTGATTCCGAATGGTTTCGATCTCTTGGAGAGTGCCAGTGAACGGGATAAAGAGATACTGGGGAAATCCCTCAGGGGCCAGTCGCTGTGTTCTGTTCAGTCACTCGAATCTGATGTATTTCTGAAAAGGAAATGAATTTTGTCAAACGCTGCAATGATCACTGAATTTTGTAAACATGGTGTGTGTGACACAACTTGACATGTAAATCCAGACACACGGGAAATACATGATTCTTATCAGTGCACAAGTATGGAAATGTTTATGTGTGTATGTATGTGAGAGAGAAACTGTGTGGGGACAAAGAGATTGTGAGGGCACGCGAGAGAGTGTGTGGCAAAGAGAGAGCATGAGGGAGAGAGAGAGAATGTGAGCCTGAGTGTGAGAGAGTCAGAGAGCGTGCGTGGTGTGGATGAGAGTTTGTGTGCGTTTGTGTGTCTGTATGTGAGTCACTCAGACAGTCAGTCAATTTGCTCAGTTGGTCGACAATGGAGTCAGAACCTCAGTCTGAGTTTTGGATCTCACCACAGCAGATGGTTAAAGTTTGATTTTTTTTTAAAAGCAAAGCTGTATTTAACAAAAAAGAAGCTAATCTAATGGAAATCATTGTCAATTATCAGGAAAAGCCCATTTGGTTCACTA